TACGGATGATCGTACGATTTTGCCTACTCGTCGTCCTCCCAAGATCGAATCTCGGCTTACCGTGGCGCAGTGGTTACGCGAACGGGCGATTTCAAGAATGCAAGCGGAAGTGCAACGGCGTCTTTCATTCGCGCGGAGTATTCAATTACCAGGCGGAGCCAATTAATGTAAAAGTAAACTTCTTAAGCTCTTAAGCCTCCGATCCACTTCTAGTTTGTTTCAGACTTGTGATTACATTTTCCTAAGCGCTCGTAGCCCGTGTACGGTCGCGGTAATCGAATTTACCGCTGGTCGCCATCTTTCTAGCATTTCGTCCAAATAATTATTCCGCGTATATGCGGGGGCGCGAGATATTTAAATTTTCGAAAAAAAAAAAAAAAAAAAAAAAAAAAAAAAAAAAAAAAAACGTTCCAATCTCCATAACCAAGTTACCAAAAATTACATTCAAACGACATCCAATGTATTTCCTCGTTATTTCGAATCCACAAAGATTTCTCGACATCTTTTTTTATCTCGTGAAAAAAATAAAAAATAAACAATAAAACGTCCCCCCTTATCAATGGAATTTACTGGGAAAATACGTGACCGTGCTTTCCTCCCTATACTCGGTTTTACCTTTATTTATTTTTATTTTTTTCCCTTGTCCCCCATTACTTCCTCCACTCTTCTCCAACCTTCTTACTGCCCACTCAAAGATAATCCTAAAAGTACTGTGACAAAGGACTCTGTCCATCCGGTTATATGTATGGAAGCTGGTGGTATATCTATATATGAAATGCCGTAGCAATGTTTTATATCGATAAGACAACATAAAGTAGCGAAACCTATAGTCATTATGGGTACCCTATACGTGCGATATTGAAAAAATATTGTCCACCAGAAGATAAGGGATTTCCCCTATTGGGGGACTCGTAAGTGTCCGAAATTGACCTACGATCCAAAATGTCTATATACAAGAGGTGGCGCCACTGTCCCTCGCACCAGACAAATGTATCGCTTATAGAAACGCGTAACGTAATAAGCGGCCCGTGACGTCATTACTTATCACACAAAAGCGACATCAAATTGCAATTTCATTAGGCACCAAGATAAATAAGAGAACCAAAGAAAAAACAACAAATTCTTTTCCAAATTCAAATTATTTTCTCATCGGTCAAATAATCTCGAACCTCACTGTAGCTCGACCTGCTCCAAATTCATAATCATAATATTACCACTTACACGCTACGCGACGCTACCAAATTTATCACTACAAAATTCTTAGACTGTATAATATCTACTATAATTTTTCGAAATATCATCCAGGTCAAACAAAAATCAAAGTGAAGTTTCGGCGAATGGAGTTTTCACAAGTGTTATAAGGGTGGTATCCCCCCCCCGCACATGGTCGAAAAGATAATAAAAGGAAGAAAGAAAAATAAAAGGAGAAAGAAAATGTAAAGAAAGGAAAAGAGAAAGCATCCGGGTTTTTTGGTTTTACTGTCGT